GACAGCCTGCCTCACTATGGTCTTCACCACACCTTGCAGGAGAATCGCTGCTCCGGCGCCTGGAGCATCTCCTCCCCCGCTTCTTGACTGACCTTTGTGTCTGCAGGGGGCTTCTCTCTCTCACTCCTCTCACTCGCTGCAATTACTGCTGCACAACAACTTTTTCACTCTCTTAAATACGTTATCACAGAGGCGAAAAACGCTGTTGCTGATGGGCTCAGCCTTGGTCAGCGGCGGGTCCGTCTTAAAGCCGGATGGCATTGGCTATATCCAACATAGGGGAAACTTCTAGCAACTTCATACAGAAGCCACCCCTGTAACCCCCCCGCTACCAAAACCTTGACACGCAGACCTGTTACACTATTATGCAGTTTCAAAAGCAAAAATACACAACAGACAACACTGAAAGACTGATATCAATACAAGTTAAAGGCTTTGTGTGATAAAAGTTTAATCTAGACCTATTAAATGAAGAAAGGAAAAATAGCTTCTGACAATTGTAGGAAGCAAATGTATAAAACCTATAATACACACTACATACAGTTATAGAAACTTATATAGACATAAAAATTATATATGTGTGTATGCACATGTGAAAACATTTTAAAAATAGCTTCTCTAGTTTTAATTTTGTACTCTGTCTTGGTTCTGGATAAGCTTCAGGCATCCACTTTAACAGTGATATGACAGCCTGCACATAACTCTTAAATCAATATAGAACAGTGCTCCATATTCGCTGTTAAATGAATTTTCTGAAGATGAAAGCAAAGAAGCAATTTAGAGGTGAAATAATAACAGAACTTAGCATTCAGAGTTGAAGTCAGGCCATAGGACTGTGTTGCTACCACTTTTACTATACAGCACTGCCAGTAGAAACTTGGTTTGGTTTAAAAATAACATATTTTAAAATTATGTATTTAAAAATATTAAGTTTGTTTTAAATAATAATTTTAATACTATATTAAAATGTCAAATCCAGAGTGACAAAAAAAAGTGTTTGTATACCACTACTTCTCCTTTTCGGTATTGTAATAGGTTTTTCCAGCACCAAATTAATTCTCATTTTCTATAATGCTAAAAGAAAAAAAAAAAAAAAGAGGAGGTAACATCCTGTTTCTTACCCTGATGCAGAGCAGGAGCTGTTTCATTACCTTTGTATAGCTTGCCTGATTTCAAGGACAATTAAGATCATTTCCCTCATGTGGTTTTCTGCCAAGAGGCTCTTCATGTTCTTTCATGCAAAAACCAGAACACGTACAGGAGTGATTTGGGCACACATAGAACATCTGTGCGGTGTACTCCAGCACTCCATATTTACTGAAGCACCACCTTATGTTTAAAGAGATACAACCTTATTGAAATCCAAGAGTATCTGAAAGCAATTCTGTAACTTGAATCATGCAGTAGGTACATCTGTAACTAGCTCATTTTTAGAAACAACTCCCAGAAGAAACTTCCTACCAGAAGGTTTCTCAAAAAAGAACCCAAAAGACGAAACAAAGAAAAGGCATAGAAAAATCAAACACTAAAATACTTTCTGTACTACCAGAGGCCTTTCCTGAGTTTTCTGCCTGGAACGTTCAAGGATAGGCAACATTTGAGGTCATTCTTTTTTTTTTTTTGCTGTGCCAAGACTAGGTTAGAAATTTTGTTTCCCCTCACAAACTGAAGTATCACCTCAGTTACACTCTCAGACACACACCTCCACTTCATTCAGATGTCTAGCATATTTTTCCTATGCTCATGAGGGCTTCAGTATGATGCCTTCTGAGCAGTCACAACACTCTTTACTAAACTACCTGCAGGGTTTAAAGAAATTTGTACTGATGTCCTAGCAATCATCCATGCTCCAAACAACTATATTTACTCAGTAAATGTCTAATGTATTTTCTACTAGGTTCTTTCCTTTCATTAAAGGTGACAAACTTCAAAGAGAACCCCTCCCTGATTTGTGTATGCATCTCTCTGTTTACAGTTTTAAGCACTCCAGTGCCTTTATATGATCATGGGTCAGAATTGCTTCTTTGCTCACCACCAGAAAACAGAGCAGCAAAGAGGCAGTAGATGTACTTACAGTAAAATTAAGCAGAATGTGTTTTATCTACTACTTGCATTATGTTTTATGCCTGGTCCAAAAGGCTTCCCTACATATCAAAGAAAAACTGATTCGGTGTTTTTATCAAGTATAAAACCACCTTTTAAACAAACCAGGTAGATTGAAAAGTAGAGAAAAATCAATCAGATATTTTTTATCCAAACAGAAAGGAGCAAAGAAATTGATCAGTGCAATTTTCTCAAAGACATGCCCTCTCAGCAACCTTTGCAAACGCAGACCCTAGTGTATTACGGTCTTCCAGCAGTAAACTAAAATGATCATCATTGATTTATATATACGAGCCAAGAATTCCACACTTCCCATGTTTTCTCCTGATAACTTCAAACAGACTTCTTCAAGTTAATAAGTATCAGAGGCCAGAATCTAAATCTGGTATGAAATTTACCTGAAGTTCCTCTATCCAGCATTTTGTTTATTCCTCGTTTTTCCTATTGACTAGCCTTCAGATGTCCCCAGTCAAAACAAGTATCAAGTATAACGGCATAAAAGTAATTTAGATTACCGAATCTTGGCCTAACGTATATCGACATTGGAATTAAGTTCTGGTGTGGTTCAGAACTGTAAGATCTGGGGGTGTTACGATGTGTTTATAATCATCATTCATCAGAAGGTGAATTCACAGGAACCTCACCTGTGATCTCAGAGCATAAATACCATTGTCCTGAAATTTAAGCCTCCTTACAGATGCTCTAAGAAACTATTTCATGAAACCAGCAAGTAGAAAAGGTAGAAGCTTCCCTGAAACGTCTTATTAAATCACCTCAGCCAAATGAGGTAAGAGACAAATGACCATTGCATACAACAAGGCATTCTGCGTACACACCAAGTTTATCGATTGTAGTGATCAAGTCGGATGGAACGAACGAATCCAAGTCTGCATCCAGAATTCCAAGGGGATCCAGCTGAGCCACATGATGGCCGCGGATCTGAAAAATGAGGAAAGCGAGAGAAAAATGAGGTGACACTAACAAAAGTCAGACAAAGGGAAAAAGTCACTGATATCTTTCCATAGTATGCATATCAGCCATGAAGTCAAATAAGCAAACACCATTAATGTCATGAGAGGGTCATATTTCCCAGCTTTCCCCGTAAGAACAGGAAATAAGCATTACGTCTCTGGAGATGTATACTACTTCTATTAAAAATTGCTGAATACACATTAGAACATAACCTGATATATGTCATAAGCTGACATACAATTTAAAATGGAATTACACTGAAGTTTAGGTAAAGAAAACTACTAAAGATTATACTCTAAATCTCCGGGTAAAATTAAGAAACTGTGACTAGTCTACTGATCGTACCATTTGCTAATTCAGTCATTTTGTATTTTTGCCTGAATCCTCCTTTCCACACCTACAGAATACTAAAATACAGCAGTGCTGACCTAAAACACAGATTGATGCTGAAGAAGTTTATATTGGAAGCAAAGGGATCACTCTTCATGAGCTCTGCTCCACATCAGATAGCATCAGATAGCGTTTATTTTCATTAATGAAATTTCAGGAATTTCATCTATGATGAAATCGACATTCAAGACACCAAAGAACACAAATTCAATGGGGAATTTAGCCATCTTTCAGTTATCAATATGACTGGTGTTAATGAATGCCACAAGTTGCAATAAACTAGTGACTTATGTATGCCTTCTGTAGCACTGCTGCAGAAGAAATAACTAGCTGATTCAATAGAGCCACAAATGAAAAACAAATTTTTAAATATGTCGTCTCTTACATGTGACTCTCATACACCAAATTAGCTCATTAAAAGCTTTTTATAGATTAATATATTAATATTTTCTCCTTAGTATTTTTAAGGACAAATTCAGTTCACTTGGGTAGAATTCCATTCACACTACTGGTACCCTAACTGTCTCTCCAAAAAAATATGTTAATAAACTGCAATATTAATAACGAATTGCACCACAGAGTAAGAGAGTGTGGTTAAAGTGTGGTTCATCAAGAAGTGACTTGTAAAAACACTATTCAAATGTTTTATATTTGCAGAAGAGTTCATAACAAAATGCTTTCCAACCTTTTTCAGAACCACCAGCCCTGTAAATTCAGCCTGGCCTCTGAGATTCTTTGCATCTCATGAATCACCAGTAATAAAGCTCTGACAGGCCAATGATGCCCTCGGCAACATTTGTCCCACTTCATTGTTTACAGCAGCACAAAGTCTATCTGACTGGAACAAAGCAAACAATTCTGTCTCAAGCATCATCAACAGGAAAGAATTTACCTCCCTAAGCTACATCCGCTCTGCAGTATTAGGAGGAAGAGCAAGAGGATTAGCGAGAATGCCAAAACACAGAAGAGCAAATCAGTAAAATGCTGTGCCATACTACACGCCAGAAGCAGTTCAGTCTTTAACTAGAAGACAATATTTTCCTCAATATCAAGTTATTTTTTAATAACTTCCACTTCTTTCAGTGGATACAGAAAATAGTAACAACTGCAAAAATCAGAGATCAACTTTGTGAAAAGACATGCATGGAAAATTCACCAATTGCCATAAATTTGACTAAATGCAAGAACAAACTACCTGAAACTAGATTTCAAAATCATATTTTCTAGACACAGATTAAAAAAATAATCTCCATTATAAAAGAAGATTCAATAAATTAATTTATCTAGACTAATTTTTAAGCACACACATTTCACTGGAAATTCTTCTTTCAGTGCATCCGGTGCTCTGCATTAGAAAAAGCAATAGATTAACTGCCTTTTCAGAAGATCAGCTCAACAGACCACAAAGCAGTTTACCACAAAAACCATAAAATACTGACAGGTTTGAGAAATGAAAATTCTGTATCCTTCTCCATTTCATTTCATTATCAGGCAAAGGAAGGTCACAAATTGATCGTATCCCTTCAACACTGAATCCAGAAAGTATTAAATACCTTTTAAAAACAGCCAGTTGCCTTAGGCAATCTTCTTTCATTGTTTGTCACAGACACATGGGTGCTTGCCATTTATACAGACATTTCTGTTCCATCACTCCAGTTGGACAGCACACTCTAAAAAAATACAGCAAACAAACTGGCAATCCCTTAACTATTTTCAAGTAAATGGTGTCAAAGCAGCCTAACATTCTCCAACTTTCTCTAATTCTTCAGCAAATTTTTACTGCAAGTAAAAGTGAATGGGCTGAAGTGGTTGTTTTCTACATAGCTACTTCTAAGCAAATTTTGTATATTCTTTATATTCACAAACCTTTCCACTCTTTTATGACACCTCTCCAACAGCTGGACTAACCTGGTTCATATCTCAGTCAATGGTGACAATGCAATGTGCACAGAAAAAAAAAGTTTTTAAAAAAGTTTCCTCTTCTATTCCTCTGATGATAGCAAACAGGAGTTAAAACTCTTAGTGCAGGGCAGAAGAGATCTGCTTAAGCCAAACTATAGCAAATTTCTTGAGAAGTTTAAAAAAAAAAGCAAAAGAACCCAATTTAAAAATCAAACTGGAATATTTTGCTGAACACAGATCTACATGTTTAGCAGGGCGTTCTTGTTTCACACTGTTTTTAAGCCTTCTGTTGAAATTAGGGAATTAAACACAAGTCTAAACAAAAATGTTTCAACTTGTTTTCATTTAGAAAACATCTAACCAAAACCACTGGACTATTTCCAAAATCCTTCTTTTAGATGAAAAAAGGAAATTAGACTTAATTTCTTAATTTAATAAAAGGGTTAAAAAACCCAAGTGTGAAACAAAGTCAACTTTGATGAACAGCTCTCTAAAAGAAATTACCCAAAGCTGACCCAAACTCAGTACTGTCAGCCTCCCAAAACTCAACTTCTGGTTAATTCATTATTTCTCCTCTCTCTGTTTACCTATAATCCTGCTCAAATCAGGAATCGCAAAATGCACACTAGATGTACAAGAAGGCAAGCACATTTCCTCCTTTCTTACAGAAATGTAGTAACATTTACAATTGTAACACAAATTTTTCCAGAGATGAAGACAGGCTTGGATCATGGAAAAATTTGCCGTTGAAGACAGGGAAAGTTCTTACTTCACTGCACATATCAGGAGATTCATTAGCACCAGTATATCCAGGATAACTCACTGCATATGAAGCAAAACTATTTCAGATAACTCAGTTTTATAATTTGGTCAAGTAACTTACTGAATCAGACACACCCCCCCCCCAAAACTATGTTAATACAGTCAAGTGAGCCAAAAGAATAATAAAGGATAAGCTTTGACATGTTTAGCTCCCAGTCCTGGTAAATGCGCAAAACCCAAGAGATTCATACTCCTTTCATGAACTATCATCTCCATAAACAGCTTCCAAGTTAAGTCAGGGTTGCGGGTAATCTGAATCCTGAGTTTGTTAAACCAGAGGAGCATTCCAGTCTGAATCCAGGACCTCAGTGTTCAGACACTGTGCAGAGAAGACGACTGTCTAGTTCAAGACATTTTGGATCAGAAGCAAGACAATAGGCAAGAGTTAAGACCAGCAGACAAGCAAGAACATAAAAACAAAGAAAAAGGTTGTTTTCAAAGAAGAGGCCCTCCCACACCTACCCCAAAGTACACTTACTTGGTATGCTCTTATCAAAGACTGCACAGCAAGGTGATCTTCAACAAGCTTTTCAGCTTTACCTCGTGTCTGGGCCAGGCCATGGCTCTGAAGAAATGATGCCTTTCTTTCCAACTGGTCTGGTAGATGGGGATCACATGCTTGGCCAGCATTAGCATTTCGGAAAAACAAATCCCAGGACTGGACATGTATACAGAGAAGGAAAGACGGAAAATTTATTACCTCAAACAAAAGTCTCAACCAAAAGCAGTTCTTTCAAGCTACAAATTGTACCTCACTACATTACAGTATTAAGTACTACTAACAGCCAGCAGAAAGAGAGCACTGATACATCCACATCTCAGTAGCAACTGTGTATTTCATTTACACAGAGCCCTTTTCATCTCATTTCTTACACCAAGCTTGTTCAGTGGAAAACTCTCCAGCACATGAGTGCAAAGCATCTTCGTACATTATTCATTCATGCAGCTTTTTTTAACTGTGATGTTTATTCAGGCAACCAGTAATGGGTAAAGAAGTACCAAGCCTATAAAACTGAAAACCGTAATAAATTAGATGAATCCATTCCTTTAATGATACTAAAAGAATTTATAATACTTCAAGATGCTCACTGAATATGCTAATCAGTCCTTAAGGACCTTTCTTGAAGAAACAGTTTAAAAGCAATTACAGGTCTTCTGAGTGAGGCTTTTGGTCTAAGATCCTTTCCACACTACCTTAGGTTACTTTACTACGGAAGAAATTACGGACCTGGTTTCAGGTGCAACTCATAACATTAGAAAAGTACATATTTCAGAAACTCTATCACAACAAAAGATCCTTTTATTTCCACCTGCACTTTTACACAAGCCACTTCCTCCACAAGTGACCAAATCTTGGTTTCCTGAACTGTTTCCATTCTGATGAGGTGGTCACTGTCCCAGGTTAGAATGATATTAGATATATGGATGTCAACAGACAGCAGCAGAATGGGATAAAACATCCGAGATGCGTATACCCAACAAAGAAGAAAGCCTGCACTAGCAGGGGAGTAATCAATACTTGTGCTTAGCTTACAGTTTCCATAAAAGATAACGAAAGGTCATAAAACACTTTCCTCAGTTTGGCTAACTTAGGAAAGAAAAGAAGCTTAAAACCTTTGCAACTGGAATAGAAGAACTGTAAAAGCTAAATTTCATTTTGTACACTGCATGTTATTTACCCTGGCTGTAAGCTTGGAACGAATGCCTTTCAAGGAACCAGTGACAGAAAAGACAAAAAGTAGCCCAAAGATTTTATTTTAAAATGAACAGTACTTACAATATTCATTACAGAATACAGAAAAGGAACAAAACAATGTAACACCAACACTGCATGACAGACAAATATTTACAAAATTTTGTTTTCATTAACAAAAATCTTCATACTGAAATTTCTGCATGCTTTAAGGTGTTGAGAAACACTATGAGAGAGGCAGCATACAAGAGCTAAACATCACCCAACCTTCCAAGTTCAAGTCATGGAAGTAGGGGGGACTCATTGAGCCTGTGGGCAAGAACCTCATCATCAGCATGAAGCCACTGCCTGAGAAACACTGCTTTAACGCACCTCTCTTACTTCTTTATTAATACAAAGCTGCATTGATACAAATCTGATAAACTTATTTATCTCCCTGTTCTTACACCGACTTGATCTAAACAGACCCTAACTTTCATATGCCATGACAACTTAAGGCAGACAGTTCGTGCTTGATGGTCAGTTCCAGACACTGATGAACAATTAATTCCTCCTCCCTTCTCTCATTTATGCCCATTTCCTGTATTCCTCTTACCTTGGCACCTTGCTAGCCACACTGAGATTAGGAGTCTGAAGTTACACAATATCCTATAAATGGTCTACAAGAGTCTATTAGTGTAACTGCACTTCTTCCAGCAATCTCTCTCCACACCTTCTTACTCTGTATTAACACCAGTATTGTTATTCCATGCCTATATAGCACCTAGTCTGAGAGTTTACAGATCCCAGACAGTGAAAACCAAATACAATCCCCTCATGTTACAACTAAAGCTACTTAGACTGGAGGAATTATTTTGGCAATACACAGTTATTAACTCTCACTAAATTAGGAAATTCCAAACATTTGGATCCATGACAAATACGACATTTGGTATTCAAAGTTTTAATAAAGAATACACTTTGTTTATGTTAAGGTTCCTTCCTCACTTTTTCCAACTCCATGATATGCGTACAACGATGAAAATAATTAACTATTCCTTTGTTGAGTCAAGAGCTTATTTAGATGTAGAAGGTATCACAGCACAGTCCCACAAACAACTGAATATGTTTTTAGACAAGTGCTCAGCTGAGACAGTTGCTAACAAAATCCAAATAGACTTGCCCAACAAGCTACCTTTAAGGAGAATAACCATAGGACCCTTTCTTCATGCAAACTCACAAATATAAAGAAATATCTTCAAAATGTTTACATCTGAAGATGCAGCCAGCTGGGACAGAAGGAACCCACACTATTTTTTTCTATCGTGTTTTTGAACTTATTGATTTGTTGGGCAGGCTTGACATTTAATCAGAGGGGAGGGAAAATACATCATTTGGCTACAGAAAATTAGTTTTTTCTAGATACACATCCATCAAAGCCTTTACAAATTTCTATAGTGTCTTTCAAGATTGATACCAGATTCTAGTCTTCAAGTCCTGCGTATCAATGTCAGTCTTTGGCAACAGCATTTGCCATGTGACTGAACAGACAAAAGACCAGCCTGGTCTCACAGCAAACCTGCAGGTTCTCAACTAAATTACTAAAGTTCTTTAAGAAAATGGCAGAGGAGACTTGCAATAGAAAAAAATACATGTGTAAAAAATAAATTACTATAGCGATACATGATGCATTCTTTTTTTTTTTCCTGTCAGCAAATCTATATTGTAGTCAACCATTATTTTCTCCAGTAATATAATACAATTCAAGTGATTCAGTGGCAATATTCTACTCATATAATAAACAGTGTTGCACTTATAATAACAAGTAACATATTAGTTATCTTGATGGTTTGGGTTTTTTTCTAGTGACATCACAATATTTATCAGCCGCAGTGAGGACAGTAAAGCCTTAGAAGACACACACTGATCATCAATACATCATTTAAAAAAAAAAAAAGAAAGAAAGAAAAAAGATGAAGTCAAAACAAAACAAAAACCCCACACTTTTTCCAAGCACGTAAAAAAAGGAAGTGATTACACACAGTAGAGAGGCTGCATACAGGATAACATGGCAGGCATTACGTACTCAATATCCAGCCATATAGTTTTGTAATTAATCTTGTGATAGTAATAACTGAGCCTTGTCAAGCTTCTCCCTTATGATGGATTGCCCTGACACCACGCTTCAAGGAGAAATAATGATGCCTTTTTCAGAGCCATGTCATTTTATTCTGATTGTTGTTTTGGCTACTCTAAGGAAAGGAAATTCAAAAGACAAAGAAAAGCAGGAAATCATCAGGAATGGATCTGCACAAAGAATAACAGCTCCTATGGATATAAATGCATGATATATAACCATGGTATACATAGAAAGGAGAGTTTCTTAGAAGAAATGCCAGTAACACAAATACACTCATTGAAACATGATGCCATATTTCAGTTTTAAATAAGCATACACAGGAAGACATGTCCAGTCAAATCTTCTGAGAGGGAAATAATTTGAGGACCCTTGATTAATTGGAGTTTCTACATAAAAGTGAATATGGTATGATTTTTAAAGCCCAGGAAAAATAAAGCTTTTTCATCTCATCAGCTAAGAGGAGGCACATCCCCTCTGATATGAAAGAGATATCCAAGAAGAAGAAACATGAGGAAAAATGGGAAATAAAGAGGAAAAAGAGGAAAGAGAATGTAATGTCTGAACACCTAGCACAAATTGGCTCCCTAAACCATGCTGGACAAAACAATGAAATATGAGTGGCCTGCTGAGAGAGTCAAACTATTAACAATACCATAACCAATACCACATGAGCTGTTGGTGTCTCTCGACAATATTTTCCAACACTTCGACCACTTTCCGTAGACAAAGTAAAGACAAATTCACAACTCGCCTACAATCATAAAACTACAGCATGAATTTTCCTGTATTTTTAAGAAAACAGAATGAGTTCAACATTTTTAATCTGTTTTATTCAAGCACAAATTGAACAATTTCTGTCAACAAAAATCTTGGGTAGGTATTTACAGCTTTCACCTGATAAAATGAGATGGTTTTCAAAAAAGAAAAAAATAATTTTGTTGACGAAATGAAGTAAAATTAATTGGCATCATTCTCCTCCCCCCTTTTTTCCTAGACTGTGAAAATCCTGATTATTTAGGCAAGAATAGCTGTAAAGTAATCCATGATGTCCATCAACCATATTCTTTTAAGCCTCACAAACCAGGCACACGGTGAATTTACTTCAGTTCATTACTGTTGAAGTACATTACATACAGTTAAGAAAAGAATTCACACATTTTTAAAATGCATCTTGAATTTCCTGGGATCCACTGCCTAGGCCACATCCTGCTCCACCAGTACACTTACACTCCTCTGTTAATTCACTTCTGCTAATTTATTGGTCACTGTTTGTCACGTAAAAGGGTAACGAGTTTGATACATGGCTGAGGGAACAAATTAACTGATCACTGGTTTATGTCTGAAAAGGCGGGGCAGGGTGGTGGTGGTAAGGAAAGCCCTCACACCGAACTGGTCAAGAGTTTATGTCTAAGAACATAAAAAATAAGGAGATCCTCACATTGAGTCACGAGGTTCAGAGTGGACCCCTGTGCTCTCTAAACTCCTCAGAGAGAAGCCTAGGTGTGGCTGGATGCACCCTTAGTCCCAGACTTGGTCAATGGTTTAAGACTAAGGATATAGAGAAATGAAAGGGGTAAGGGAAACCCTACTGCTGCGTCATGAGGTTCAAAGAGGACACTCTTACTTTCCAAACTCCTTCAGAGAGTATGGTTATATCCAATCCTAGTCCCTGACTTAGTCAACAGTTTATGACTAAGGATTATATGTGTCTTGCCACCTATTAGTGAACATTTGCCAGTTTCACAGTCCTGCCTAGGACTTTCAGTGAGACAGACTCGCAAAGTTGCAAAGATAGGTAATTTATTAGGGTGACAGACATAACAAGTTTGGAATTGCCATTGATAAATACACTTGCAGCAAAAATTGAGCTCAAGTTTGTAATACAGTGCTTTTGTTAGCGTTATTTTCCCAGGTAACATCTGACAAAGTTGGAGGTGCAAGTCTTACCAAAGAGGCGTCCCTGCTTGGGAAGGGGAGAGATACCCAGGCCCATTGAGTTCTTGTCCTCAAAACAGAGGATTCTAAATACCAGGTTTATACTCTTGGAGAGGTGGGACTAGGTCAATTATCATATGCCAATTAGCTCTTAACAAGGCTTGTTGCATTGTGTCTACGTTTAGCCTGTACCAAATTGTAACAGTTGCTCCATCGCCTGATGACCCCTCAATAGCCAGGGAGGAGAATCGGGGGAAAAGGAGGGCAGACTCATGGGTTGAAGTGAAACAGATGTAATGGAACACCACCAATACCAACAGAGATGTACAGAGTTATACTTAGCCAAATGAATATCGAGTCACCACAATTGACCAGAGAGCAGTCCTCGGGAGAAGCCAAAGAAGTACCAGGAAGAACCTTAGCAGGAACCCCACAGGACCTCCCTCTTCTCAGTAAACGTTTATAATGGCCATGACATTATGGGATGGGCTACCCCTGTAGCTAACTCAGGTCAGCTGCCTTGGCTGACTTGAAACTACTTAAGGCCTGCCTAGTTTGGCTAGGCTGTGATTCTGCCCCAGCCAAACCAGGACACATTGTCAATCAATAAAGTAGGTGGAAGCAGCGGAGAACAAAAGCATCTTGTACAGAGGTGCAGGGGTCTTTTCTGGCTTTAATGAGGTAACATCTGGAGGTGCGGAGGGCTTCTCTGGCTTTACTGAAGTATCACAGGGCTGTGAGGTCTCCACCTCACCCTAGGTGCCACTCAGTCAGTTTCTTGTCCTTGAAGCCAGCTGCTCATCCCTTGCCTTTGTCCAGGTCTGGTGTTTGTTGGTGCAAGATAAGCACGTTGCTCAGTCTGTGCTCTCATTCAAGTCGACCCTCACTACTTTCTGCTGACTCACGGTGATTTGGTACTAACAAGCCCACTGTCCAACAAACTGCACCCCCTTATCAAGATCCATCACCCAAAAGCCTGAACTGCCAGGCGAATTGGACGGTCTTTCAGCAGAATGGTTGGCATTTCCGCCTAACCCCAAGCACCAGCAAAATAACGAGCACGTCTAATTTAGCAGAAGCCTTTGCTCCTTACTGGGGCGGTTGCGCCGGGAAAGCCTCCCATCCCCGCAGCTGCCCTTCTGCGGGACCGGCTGCGGCGCGGCCCGCCCCG